AGCTCCGCTCTGTGCTGGGAAGTGTCAGTTGGCTGGCAAGGACATGTCGTCCTGACCTTTGCTACGAATGCAACCGTCTGCAAACGGTTCAGGCGAAAGCTCGGATCCAAGATTTGATTGAAACTAATCGCCTCCTGGACTATGCTGTCAAGACTCGAAGCCGCGGCATTTTCTACTCCGCCAACGGCCCGAAGCTCGATGACAGCATGATTTTGTCCATAACGGACGCGAGCCACGCTGCAAGCTTCACCGACCTTGGTGAGGGACGGCTCGGTGGAAACCGGTCTCAGTCAGGCCGAATCCTGGCCTTAGCGCCGCCCGACTTCCTGGAGAAGGGCACTGGAACGGTGGCTTTGCTTGGTTGGACCTCCACAACCATCAAGAGGGTCTGCAGAAGCACGATGCAAGCGGACACAGCTGGGCGCCGAAGAAGCTGAGCATTTTAGGCAGCTGCTTTTCTCGGTCCGCAACTTGGACCCAAACGACTCCAAAGGAAAGGAGCGTTTTGTGCAGGCCTGTGATGCAACCGTCATTGGATGGTTGACTGATTGTAGGAGTGTTTTTGATCACCTGCTCCAACCAGGTATGAGTGAGGTCACAGACAAACGTCTGGCGATTGATCTCACGGCCCTCCGCCAGGATGTTTGGCGTGATTTGAAAGAGGAGGTCGGCAATCCGACATTTGCTGACGCTCCGCCACAGCATGGAACCAACAAGGTTGCTTGGATCGACACTGCAACGATGGCAGCAGACGGTCTGACCAAGCGCATGAAGTGCACCCAGCTCGAAGAACTCATGAGCTCAGGGCACTTGCAAGTCAGCTTTGAGAAGCTGAATGGTTCCAAGGTTGACAGTGAGAAAAAGAATAATGGATGTGAAAACTATGTTTACATGAGCATGTATTCATGAGTCCTCACTGTCATCCTAGCTGTGGTTGCGGTTGATTGCAGTTTGTACCCTGCCAACTACGGCTGGCTCAAGCTCACGCGCGGTGAAAAGCCGCACCGACCGCCGCATCAGTCCAGTTTTGATACAAACAAATTGGGGCGTGGTGTGCAAAGAAAAACACTCAATTCTTGTGTACGTTTTGCTTCAAACTTTCGGGCCATTAGGGGGTCAAGTTGCTGGTTCGAAATTTGTCCATGTCCGAATGTTGAAAGCCAAGTGAAAACCCAGCTCAAAACTCAAGCTCGTAGATCATGAAACTTGGCAGTTTGGACATTTTGGAAATTGTTTTTCTGTGTTGAATGATTGAAGTGTTTTGCTGTAAATTTCTGTGCCAGCAGAGTCCCTGTGAGAAGCACATGTTCAACGCAAATGCCTCCCAAACTCTGGAACTACGCATCTTGGTGTTGAGAAACATCCAGAAGCAACATTACTTTGTGATACTTTGTGCAAATATGGCCGGGATAACGTCAACCCTGAGCCAGAAACTGAACATCAACCGCCTTGCCCACCTCAGTTTCACCTACATTCCCTCATTCTTGGCTAAAGTCCGCCCAGGTTGAAGCACAGTCCATGACCTGAACACTTACAAATTCGCCTTCAATGGCCCAAACCCGCTTTGTCAAAAGCGATCGGTCGGCGCGCACTTCGTTCTTCTTCCAGTTTCACAGCACAAGTGGCGGAAAATTGTCAAGTATTTTGGTGCCCATTTGCATACTGAACCTCGGTGCAGCTGCCGCATGCGCAGTTGAACTTTTTCAAGCGACATGGAAAAAAACTTTGGAGGACATAGAAATTCATCCAACCACAAGATCCTTCAGTAGCAAGATGTTGGGAGCTCCATACGGTCATTCCAATACAAAACAAATGACAGATGCCTTGCATGCGATCTTGACACTGCTTGACCATAGGCAACACAAACCACCCAATTCCAAGAACACTTTGTGTTGTAAAGAACCAGTAACTTCTTGCATGCCTGTCACTTAGAGTTATGCTGCATTTGTCGTAGTAGGCAGGGAATCTGTTATGCTCAGGAAACATGTGGATGCAAAATCGTTTTTGTTGCAACGCTGTTTGTGTTGCAGGTTGGTGGGGCTCATGAATTTGGACTGCACAGAGATGTCCTTAGTGACAGTTTTAAGACTTCATGTTCCAGAGTGAGGGACAACTGGAACGTTGGTTTGCACATTGCTTTGATTCGGCGGAACTCTTGAAATGATTTGCAGTGTTGGTTTTGTGAGGGTCGGCAGGGTGCGCTTTTTGCCTGCAGCACATTGGTAGGCAGAGCTGTCAATGTGTGTCAACCGAGCAAGAGCACTTTGTTTTCTCATAAATGACCCAGTTTTCTGCAAACAAATTTGCATTCAGGCGGTGCTTTAGGCATCGTAATTTCCATGGTTGTGAACCTAGCTGGTGCCTCAATTGCGGAAACAAATCGATTGAGGTCTTTGCGGCCTGAGAGTCTGGGCTGTGTGCGAAGGGATAGGCTTTTGCACCGCCTCAAGGCCCTCATCGAGATTTCCATCTCCCCGTTCTTTTCCATGCTTTTCCCTCACGTGAATGTGGCTTTGCAATTTTTGACTTTGTCACCAAATGTGCAAGTTGCTTCCAAGGTACTTTGGGGTGTTATTCATTCTGGTGGGCTGCCTCATTCTTTGGAGGGTGGGGCCCACATCATTCAGCTTCCTGGTCCATGTTGTGACAGCACACGGGCAAGACTTGAAGCTCGGAACTCGCTTCAGGTTCTATCACACGAGTCTCCAGACCCACTTCAGATGAAGCGGCTGCACCTGAGGCCAGTCAAGTTTCTCCAGCCAAATGGGATCTATTTACGCCAAGTATTTTGGTCCAGGTTTTGACAACAAATCAAATTGTCCATAGTGTCAACTGTGAAGAGAAACTTTCATCTCAGTGGACCTATGGCACCTATGGTGAATCCCTGCAGTATCTTTGCCGGCACGATCATCTTAAGTGGCGCGCGAGATCCTCAGGGCTGTGAAATAGTTGCATCCAGTCAAAAGTGGAAGCTGAGCCGAAGACAAGCTGTGGAAGAGGCTGTCTTGTTAGTGGATGTTGTGTCTCAGAGGTTGTGCTTCCTCCTAGATCGCAAGATCTTCGTTGGCCTTGCCCCCTGGATGAAGGTTCGATTCTTTTCTTTTACAGATTATCAAGTCTTGTAGTAGATGTATTTTAATTCTTGCAAATTGGTTCTGCAAATGCAGGTGCCGCTGTACATGACTCTGGGCTTGGCTGTGGCATTTGCTCTAACCTTCTCAATCGTTGATGCTGGGGCCCTGAAAACCCAGTGATGTCGTACCACCCTTCGCATCCTTTGCCTCTCCGTATTTTGTCTGAAGCCCAGTTTCCCAAAAAATAGAGTAGGAACCACGTCAATAGTCCAAGCGTGAGCTTTCCTGCGTCGGAGCCTAGTAGCGGCCTAGTAGCTACAACTTTGGCATATCCCGCTTGAAAAACACATGTCTAAAACATTGTTGGTTTGTTTGAGGTTCTCAACTATGTCATAGGCTTCTTCCAAAACTCTGTGGCAAAGTGCCTTTGGCTTCATTTACGCCGTGGAAAAGCGCTGCGAGAGAATCTTGTAACCGAGGCCCGTGGTTGAGAGCTCCCAGCAGGCCACAAGATGATTGGTGATGGACGAGATTATCTCATGTGATCATATGATTGGCCGGAGGTCTTCTTAGTGCTGATTGTATCCATCGCCTGAAGCTTGGTTTGAATTCCTTCATCTCCCGCGCGCATGCAAAACACTCTGAGGCCATGGGTGTGGTCTTTGGCTTTACGTTTGGCTTGCTGGATGTCGAAGATGAGGAAGCAGCAAAGCCGCATCTGTGCATTCTTGCGTGAAAAGGTACTGTATATACTATGTTACTCACAGAGGGGAAAACCGAAAGAAGAAGAGGAACCAAGAACTCCAACCATCAGCAAGCTGCTGTCAACCACCAGCGGCTTCAGCAGATTTCATCACTTTACCTGTGCCGTGTTGCATTTCCAACTGCAAGTATTAGGACATGTTATGTCTTTCTGATGTTCTGAGGTGTACCATATGCGAGTGGCGCTCATGAGAGAAGCACCGCCCTCAGTTTACCTGGGAATACTCAAAGAATGCATTCTTGTTTCTCGTAGCAAGGGTAGTTGATTCCAACACTAGGACTCGACTTTCCCTTTGAAGTCAGCCAAGGAGCATTACTGCTATCCCATGGGCATCTTGTGCCTCAACTTTATCAGTCTCCAGTGGTGGTTCTTCGTGGTTTGGGGTGTCCATCTCTGTGGACATGTTGGGGCCACTCATCATCATCGCCGTTGCTTGCGGACCATGTACAGAGGAGACATGGACCACTTTGGGGATGTCATTGCATATTCAGACATTAACTATGTTCCGATCTTTTCCATGTCTCCTCTGCACTGACTTCTCAGGCTGGGTGCAATATCTGGTTTTGGAAATGAGTACTACCGTCAGAAGGACCGTTGAGATGTTGAGTCATGTTGAGCTTTGCATAGTGGCTTGGTTGTGTGCAGGATGACTATGCCGGCTATCAGGCAGAGACATCCTGTGTTTCCGTTTAAAGCAGCGAATAGCTTGCAGGGCCTTGCCCAGACAGAGTTCGATGAAGACATCTAGGAGGCGGAGTTAGAGGTGATTCCGCCTGTTTGCTTGATGTGTTTTGTAGGTATTCCTGATTGCGACAAGCAGCTGGCCCTCTGGTACTAGCCAGATCAAAGGCATTGACATTTGCACATATGCAAACATCTTCGATTGTTTTGATACAGACGTCCACATGCCTACAATTCCTTAGAGTGTCAGTGCCTTCGGACCTGCAGAATTACTCCTGTTGCCAAAGCAGGAAGTGGCCAGTCGCGAAGAAAACAATCTCTCATGCTTGACAGCATTTATGTTCAGATGAGCATGCTTGATTCTTTGGGCTCAGGGACTGAGAAGAGTGACCATGGACCATGGGTGTACCCAACAAATACAGTAGAACCTGCAAGCAATTCCGAACTTTCTGTCAACTATTCTTTCTGTAGAGCATGTGCATCTTCCACATCTAGAGTTGACGTGTAGCCCAGCCCCAGCCCTCCGGGGTGCAATGGGGGGAGCAAAGAAGGTCTGGCAGTTTGGAGCTGTGGGAAGTGGTGTTTTGGAACCCTGCAGTCTTGAGCAGGAGCCCATAGTAGCGTCCTTGTTCCTAGTAATCCTAGTACTAAGGCCAGGAGCCCCTAGTAGAGTCCTTGTTCCTAGTAGTAAGGCCAGGAGCCCCTAGTA